GGGTCCAGGATTTGAACTGCAGTCAACCATGTGGGAGTCCAACACCTTAGACACTATGCCACCTGTTGGCTCCGAAATTAGCTTTTTTTTTTTTTATCTTTGAATGTATACATGTATAGAAGTATATCTTTTTTTTAAATAACTATTTTATTTAACTTTATTTACTTATTTATTTATTTTAATTTGACCAGAGAGGAACCAAATGAGAGTGAGATAGAAAGAGGGAAAGTGAGAAATAAAGCCACCAGGTCCAGGACTCGAAACAGTCAATCATGTGGAAATCCAGCACCCTTAACCACCACGCTACCTGCCGACCTCTAGAAGTATCTTATTCACCTAAAAATACAAATTTAAACATGCTAAGAATAGAAGCCTTTCATTATTCCACACCTCCTCAGGAACTTTACAGCTGATTGGCCTTCTGTAAATCTCTAACATTTATTACATTACTTTCACTCTCCATTACAATGTTGGTTTACATGGCTATTCTGTACCCACTCACAACTGACAGCTGAATGAATAACTAAATGAAGACAAAGAAAACAAATGGCTTTTTTGAATGATTTGTCCGTAAATCAGATAGATATTTCCAGATTTGTATATAGTATATTAAGGAAAAGAAGCCGTGAATGGCAACACATATACAATACAGTTTAAATCTTTATATAGGTATATTATATATCCAAACACTATATGCACTGATATTCTTTATTTGTATCTAATTTGGGAATAACTTATGGCATGGACTGGTGACATTAGAGAAGACACTATTATGAAGCCTACCATCTCAAACTCATTTCCTTTTTTCAGGTTTATTTGGCTATTAGTAAATGTTTAATTATTTTATTTTTTAAAAAATAATTTATACTACAGAGTGAGTGTACTTGCTGGAGAGAAAGAGAAAGAGAAAGAGAAAGAGAAAGAGAGAAAGAGAGAGAGAAAGTGAGAAATCACCCCAGGGAAATGACTGTGCTGCAATCCCTTCTCCTCCATTCCCCTCTTGGGATTTTGGGCACACATGCATATGCATCCAGTGACTTTTTAAAAATAATAATTATTTTTTAAATAATAATTTATTTATTTATTTATATTTTTATTTATTCATTCATTGATTTTTTAAATTTGACCAGATAGAGACAGAGGGTGACAGTGAGAGAGAGAGGAAGTGAGAAAGCAAGCCACCAGGTCCAGGACTCGAACCCTGGTCAGCCATGTGGGAGTGTCCAGCACCCTAACCACCACGCCACCCGCTGGTCCCATTTTTAAAAAATAATTATTTATTGAATTGTACTTATTATTATTTAAATTTGCTATGGGTGACATATCCTTGAGAGAGAGAGAAAGAGAGCAAATGAACAGAAAGTAAGCCATCAAGTCTAGGACTTGAACTGCAGTAGGCCATGTAAGAGTTCAATGCCTTAACCTCCACACCACCTACTGTCCCCTTCCACTCCCCCCCCCCCCCCCCCCCCAGTGTGTTTTCAAGCCATCAGGTCCAGGACTCAAACCACACAGTTGGCCATGTGGTATTTAGCTGCCTAAACCACCATGCCATCTGCTGGCCCTAGATTTTTATTTTATTTTATTTTTTGGAGAAGTTTTTGCTATAGGGCACGTGCACTCGCCAGAAAGACAGAGACAGACAGAGAAACAGAAAGTGAAAAATCACCCCCGCAGGAGGAATGGCCATGCCACAATCCCTTCTCCATTCTCCTCTCAGGATCTTGGGCATGCACGTACACATGCCCAGTATAAGTTTAAGCTACCGGGTCTAGGACTTGAACTGCCGTCGGCTACATGGGAGTCCAGTGACATAGTCATTACGCCAACTGCTGGTCCCTAGATTTTTTATTATTTAATTAAAACCTTTTTTCTTTTAATGCTGATCTGTGGAATGACATTGAATCTTGCTTTTGGCTACCCACGAGAAGGAATTAGCTCATGTTACATATCAGGTTCACATGTAGCTATCCTCACAAAAACAGAGACCTGAGGGTAAAAGGGTCACTTTCATTTGGCAGAGAATAGAACATAAACCTAGATTTT